TTATAACCTAATAGGTTATAAGCCCGGTAGCCTAATTATCTTCGAATACAATTACTTCCGGTATTATATCGTTACAAATAGAGTTATAATACTCTATATTTATAACTATCCGACTACGAACTCGATATACTCGATTCGGCTTATATATATAATTATATATTATATATATATATACTATAACTACTATAGTAGAACCTAAGACCTACGTCTCTAAGACAAGCCTTAAGCGAGGGAATAAGCTTAAGATACTTGCGACTATAAGAAGCGATTACGCGACCTATAGCGGGTATTATAATTATCTTCTTAAACCAAGGTGCCCAAGCCTATATATACTATATATATTACTAATAGAGTAATATATATAAATATAGAAGGAAGTGGCTATTCTATTAGTTTATCTTATAACTAATCTAATATCTATATATCTTATAAAAAGCTATCCTCGGAGAGGAATAAGATATAGTTTATATTATTATTAGTATAAGAAAAGTTATTTAGTACTTAGTATATCTAAGGAAAACTAATAAGTAGTAAAATACTACGAAAAGACCTTAAATATACTTATTATAAGTAATTAAGGCAAAAGGATAGTTAAGAAAACCTATATAGACTTAATATAAGCTATTAGGTATAAGTACTATAATCCTTTAAGATATAGTATATAAGTTATTCTTAAATACTAAGAATACTTAAACTATTAGTTTAGATAAACACTTATTCTAAACTAAATAACTACTACTTAACTAAATCTAAGATTTAGAACTTAAGTTATAAAGTATAACTTTAGTAAAAGCTAATTTAAGTATTAAAAAACTTAAAACTATAGTAGTAGAACTTAAGTTATTAACTTAAGATATCTTAGAAGAACTTAAGCTTTAGCTTTAGTATAAATCTCTTAGAAAAACCCTTAAAAAATCCCTAAGGTTACTTTAAGTAAAACTTAACCTTTTAAGTAAAACTTAAGTTATTTAAGACCTATTAAGTAAAGATATCTTCTTTTAAGGGACAAAAGCTAATAGGCAAATCTAATTATATAGAATAGCTTAACGAAGCTAAACTATATTTAGAAATAAATAGTTTTATATCTTATATAGACGAAACTATAGTTTGTCCTAATAAATTTTTATATTACGACGATAATAACAAGCCTAGAACTCCTAAACTAGGAGTTAAATACGAAGAACGTATAAACGAATTTATACGTAATAATAATAAGGCTATTGGCGCTATTAAGTCTATTATATCTATAAATAATATAGAGCGCTTTAAAGATAAAACTACCGCTAGTAGCTTATAGAAAGCTATTAAAGATACTTACGGCGATAGTAGTTTTAAGCTAATAGGCCGCTATTTAAATTAATTAATAGAGGCTAAATATAGCTCTTATAAAAATATAGACGAATATACTAGTACTATTTAATCCGCTAGTATATATCTAAAAGAATTAGGCTATACTATACCTAAACCCTTTATAGCCTAGATTATATTTAAGGGATTACCTAGTTCTTTCGATTCTTTAGCTTCTAGAAAATACGAAGATATAAGCGAAGATCTAACCGATATAGACTTAAATAAGTTAATATCTAAGCTAATATCCGAAGAAGCTAGAATAAACTCTAATCTAGAGGCTAATAAAGTATATAATAAGAATAATAAATCTTATTATAAATACTATAAAAAAGACGGGTATATAGAGTCTAAGTGTTTTATAAAGTACCCCGAGTTAAGAAATAACTCTAATAGTAGTAATACTACTAACTATAAGAATAAGAATAAGAATAAAGATTCTAAGAAAAATAAGAATACTAGTAATACTAGTAATTCTACTAAAGAATCTAATAAGACCCTTATGTTAGTTAATACTAATAATAGTATTAATACTAATAAAAGTACTATTAGTACTTATACTAAGAAAAACTCTAAGTATAGTAAAAATAAGGTCTTAATACAAACTAG